ATAGAGTGTTGCCGTGGACTGGTCACTCCATTCCGTGTTTGATAAGGTAATGTTCCAGTCTGCTTTCTGTGCAGTAACTCAGAAGTTAAGAGATTAATCTAGTTTCCAGGTCTGGAGGTTGAAGAGCATGGGATCCCTGTCTGTTCAGTTCTGATGAGGGGCCTTAAGGCCAATGGCATCACTGAGGCAGCAGCATGTGGCAAAGTGGCAAGAGGCAGGTGCACAAGAGGGATTTATAGAAAGTGTGAGGTTCAATAATAACAATCTATTCTCCAGGGAACTAATCTAGACCCACAAGACCTGCACGAATCCCTTCTGAGGGCAGTGTCCTTGTGACCCAATAATCTGCCTCCCTAGTTCCATCACCTTACCACCACTCCACTGGAGGCCAAACCTTAGAACTTCTTGGGAACAAACCATGGCAGACACTGTAAAAAAGTGAAATGAGGCCAGAAAAAAAAAAAAAAAAGCTAGCTAGTAAGTAGGTAACAGCTTTTTGCAGAAGCTCTTGCCTAGATCTGAAGTCCTAGCTGATGTGATTATTACTCAATCCTTAAGATTCTCCATCAGGCATGGCACAGTAACCTAGTGGCTATAGCCCTTGCCTTGCATGCACCAGGAACCCATATGGGTGCTAGTTTGTGTCCCCATATTTCCACTTCCCATCCAGTTCCCTGCTTGTGGCCTAGGAAAGCAGTTGAGGATAGCCCAAAGCCTTGGGACCCTGCACCTCTGTGAGAAAACCAGAGGAGGCTCCTGGCTCCTGATCAGTCCAGTTCTGGCTATTGTGGCCTCTTGGGAAATGAACCAGAGGCCAGATCTTCCTCTCTGTCTCTCCTCCTCTCTGTCTATCTGATTTTCCAATAAAAATAAACTCTTAAAAAAAAAAAAAAAAGATTCTCCAACAAGCCTTACTGGACAATGGGAGTCAGCTCAGCAGAAGGGAGTTACACTTTGTATTTAAGCTGATTGTTCCAAAGGCTTAGGCGGGTCAAGTATAGCGAGTAATAGTTAAGGCATTGCAGTTCAACAACTATAATCTGAGTAGCACTTAGTCTGTGATTACTTATTTATAAACTGACTGAAAACAGACCAGAATCTACCATGTTTTTAGTGAAAATATGTCCTCAATGCTGTGACCACCCTTAAGATGCCCCAAGTCACCACTGCCACCACCCAAACCTCCGAGAAAGGTAGTATGACCTGGGTGTAGAAGTTGCGATTGATAACACACCACACAAACAGAGTAGGAAAAGTTTTATTACTCACATATAGAGACTCTCCAGCACAGCAGGATCCCAAGCGGGTCCAGGAATGGCTTAACTGGTTTAGCTTTTGTTGTTCTTGGGTGTGAGGCTGGGGGGAGGGTTCCTGCATGCAAGCCAGGATTTGAGTGATTTCCAATTCCCGCTAGAGCCAATGGAAAAGACGCTCAGGCCTTCCTCAGCTAGCTGGGTTACACCTCATGTGGAACACAGAAGGCAAAGGGAATAGTGAAGCTTGAACACCATCAGTAATTAAACACCACAGTGGGAGTGGAGTCTAATTACAGTCCAAGGCACTGGAACTCACACTGACAGTAGACTGTGGTTGTTTATCTCTAAGGCAATCTAGGTCTATAAATCTGCACCAGTGGCAGGGGGCTACAAAACCTGACACATTCCTCAAAAGGGTCCGATGGTCTGTGGTGGCAAAGGATCAAGACTCTCCAAAAGATCAAACCAGGGACCAGAGAAGGCAAAGAATAAGGGATTTTTCTCCCAGAAGGTAGACTGTGGCTCAACCAAGACCCTTACTTTTTGCAAAGTCTGCTCAGATTTTCCTCACGTGTGGGCCTTTGACTGCTGCCCATCAATCTTGTCTTTTAGTGTTCATCCTCTCCCTGCTGCTGTAGTAGCAGATCCTTCCCTTGCAGCTTGAGCAAGGCACATCTCCAGATCCCGGCTGGAGATCATAGCTCTCAATATTCCTTAAGCAGGAATATTGAGCTCTGGCTGTTCAGCAATACTCATGACTAGATTACTGACAGAAGTGATGGCCCAAACTTCCTTGAAAGGAAAAACTTCGCTTCCAACTTCCTCTCCTTCCACAGGCTGGGAAGTGGCTGTGTTTCTCTGAGCCAGCTTTGAGCACCTAGTGAACAACTCCCCTTGGAAATGGAAAAGAAGAAAGATGAATCATGAAACAGATCTGCCTGCTACACAAAAGGTTGCAAAGATTTTTGCAATGCTATGTGAAGAAGTGCTAGCTTCCAGTTTAGGAGAGACATCTTGTAATAGGGTTTCTGTTACACAACGTATTTCATTTTCTGATTTAGATTTTTAAAAGAAAATGAAGATATTAAGAACGTAAGTTTTTTCTTTCTTTCTTACATTTAAAAAAAAACTTTAATGGCCTTAAGATGTCCTCTCTTTGTTCCTTTTGATTCTATTTTTTAATAAGAAACATAAGTATAAATAAGAAACTTCAAATTTAAGCGCACCAGAAACAAGTTAAGACCCTAAAATTATGTGACTTCCAGAATTCATTGTGCTTCTCCCATTTTCCAGAAATCAAGTCTCACCAACACAATTGTGCATACTATATGCCTCGATGGGAATAATTACTTAATATAAATGTGCAAGTGTCCTACTGGTAAAAGAAAAACAACTTCCTTTTCTCCAATGCATAGGAAAAGTCCTCAAAAAGTTCATGGAAAAACAGAATTGAATGTTGATGTTGTGGCAAAACATTCTGAAATCCATGCATAAGAGGGCCACTCAAAAATTCATGGAAATTGCACACTATGAAGAAATATACATGGATTTCAAAATGTTTCACAATAAACAGTTTTCATTCCATGAACTTTTGGATGTACCACTATATGTATGTCCAAGTTCCATCTACCCTCTTCCTTCAATTAATCATACTTAATTGGATGAAGTAGATTTCTTCGCCCACAATGTGATGCAAAGATGATGATCTCTGCTGATTCTGCTTCTGTCAGCTTCAGGAGAGTTCACTGTGTTGCTAAGACAACAAGGATGGTGCAACAGAAACTGGGATTGAAGGCAAAGCACTGTAGCTGCCTCAAAGGATGTCATAAATAGTGTGTTCAAGACCTGTTTCACAGTGGATCCTCTAACACTTCAAGTAGAAAAAAAATCATACCCAACACTCCAACCCCTTCCACAGAAGAATGACCTCCCCAGCACATTCTAAAATTAAGAAAGCTGGAGCAGGCACAAGGCTCAGCAGCAAGACACTAACTGGGATGTCTGAATTTCATATTGAAGTATCTGGGTTCGAGTGCTGGGTCACCTTCCAAACTTCAGCTTCCTGTTAATGCTCACTCTGGGAAGCTGTAGTGAAGGCTGAATTAGTTGGGCATCCCTACCACCCACATGCGAGACCCAGATTGAATTCCTACCATCTGATCCTGGCCCAGCTGTGGTTCTTGCAGGGATTTACAGAGTGCACTACACTGGAGATTTCTGTCTGCCTACTTCTGTCTTTCAAATTAAATAAATAAATAAATAAATAAATACAGAAGGCATTAGTATAAGCACAAAAAGGCAGGAACTTCTCATGCCACTAATCCATGTTGTTTTTAGAATCCTACAGTGATAACTGAGGGGAACTTGCCCTTCAATCTCAATTTGTCATTTGCCTAATAGAAGCAAGTCTGAAAAATATCAGACGAAAGTAAAAGTTATGTGCTTGGTGTTCCCTGCATGGAAAAAGCACACTTATTGCACAAACGCTTGATTCTATGTGATGAATACAAAGTGTAGGAATGACAACCACAGGGTCCCAGGACTGGTGTTTAGGTTGCATTTATGAAAACACAAAGGTATGCTCTTGTTGACACACTTGCGACAAAGGCACAGAAGACTCGGCAGTAGCACTGAAGAGAGCCAGGTCACCCCTGTGGGTTTGTTGTAGCAAATGGAGCCACTGCAGTGTTCTTCCTGCCTTAATACCCTTAACATCAAGGCCAGGATACCAAGAAGAAGAATAACATGCTTGTACTGATTTGGAAATGTTTTTTCTGATCTAAAATTTTAAAAGGAGATGAAAACAGCATTGAAGTAGGAATGTCCTTCACATCATGTATGCTCGCTGCCTTAGAGATAAGCATCGAACAACAATCACGGGAGCAGGTGGAGAAAGGAGCCCAGGACTGAGTTAGGGCAAGCCTGTGTTTTTTAAAAAAATATATTTATTTGAAAGGCAGTTATGGAGACAGAGAGGGAGAAGGGGGAACCCATCTTCTATCACTTGTTCAGCCCTCAAATGACCATAATGGTCAATGGCTAGGATAAGTAAGGAGCCTAGAATTCCATCCAGGTCTCTCAAGGGGTTGGCAAAGGACCAAGCACCTCGGCCATCTTCTGCTGCTTTCCCAAACACATTAGAAGGGAGTGGATTGGAAGCAGAATAGTTGGGACATGAAGCACTGCTCCTATGGGATGCTGGCATTACAGGCTGCAACCTAACCCACTGTTCTATAATGCAGCCCCAAGGCATAGGTTCTTCAGAACCCACCTCCTCTCTTAACTTTTATCTGGTTTTATTTATTCAGGTTTATTTGAAATGCAGAAAGAGAGAGAGAACAAACACAATTTCCCACTCACTAGTTCATTCTCCAAATGTTCAACAGCCAGGGCTACCCCAGGCTGAAGCCAGGAGCCTTTGGACACAAGCCAGGTATCCCATGTGGCTGGTAGGGTCCCAAGTACTTGAGCCATCATCTGGGAAGCTGGGATCAAGAGAGGAGCTGGGATTCTAGGATACGCACTCATATGGGATGAGGGAGTCTCAAGGGTGTCTTCATTGTTGTGCCAGATGTGGATCCCTCTTCCTAGTTCTTAAGAAATGATTGAGGAGAAAGATCTGGATTGGCAATGGCAGGTGAGTAAAGATGTATTTTCCCAACCTTTGAGGGTCCCTTGCTTTTGAGATGCCAAAGTGCCTGGAGACTGAGTTACTAGTATGATATTCCTGTTTCAAGCAGGAAACAAAAGATACTCTTTTTAATGATGGAATCTGAGGGTTATACAGTAAGGTCAACAATACTGTGGGACTTCTCATTGTCAAGTAAAAGTTTAATCTAGCAGAATAAAATATAAACCAGAAGATTTTTTTTTAGCCTGATGATCTAAGCATAAAAAAGGAAATAGAAAAGAACACATATCACTCTATTTTAATACTTGAAATAGCATAAATCATAAGAGTTTCTATACTACACTATACAAAGAATATACTGTTACTTTCCAAAGAAATCAATTTCCTACAGGGTTTTCTGAACAGTCACTCCATACAGCTAAGAACTTGACCCTTCAGCCACAGCTGACACATAGACTATGAACTACTATGTTCCCAAGTCTTCCATTGTGCCCATTTCTGCTGCCACGGAGGGATGAGCTCCTGGAGACCTGTTGCGGTCCCTTTCATCTCCTGCACCAGAAAACATGGGCTCTGCAGGTGAATGCGAGCAGCTTCTGTGCTTGGCTCTCCATGGGTATGCTTTCCTTTAAGAGAACTTGCGTTTCTTCATGGCTTCCGCCTTGACCGCCAGGCTCTTGGCACAGATGGTCAAGACCACAATGAGAACACCCACCACAAATGTCACCAGGGGCCAGAGGAAGCAATGCAGGAGGACAATCTCATCGTGCGTGCGATGCAGGAGCACGTCGTCTGGTCTGTAAGACAGTGGACAAGTGGGAAGAAAGGGTGGTCAGAGGCTTGGGTACGGCATAGAAAACGCTACAACTGAGATCCAAATTTGCTTTCCAGTCCATAGGGAATAATCTTCATCGAAATCAAAGATTTCACTCTGACTATAAATACTGTACTTTGGAGTGCAGCTCTTGAATCAAGTAATTGGTGCAAATTTATACATTACGTGTAATATAATTTACATATTGCAAAAATGTCAAAATAGTAGCATCCTCTTAGGCTATTATTCTCCTTCATTTGAAGTAGCTCAACATCTCCACTTTTTCATCTTCTAAAATTTATTGCTCAAATGGTTTGAATCCGTCTATAAATTATTTTTTTTTTTTGGCTGGGGGGACATTCTCCAACAAATCCAAACCACTTAGATGGAGTCCAGATGAGTTTAATTCAAAGGAAAGTCAGTGTAAACCACTATTCAAATTAGTCAGAAACACAGATGGTGTAGCCTTCAGGCCAATTCAGCTTCCCTAAGTGAAATAGAGCTTTTTTTTTTTTTAATTAATACACAGACAAGAGATGAACTGAAAGCATGTTTTCATGCTTCTGGGTAGGATTCACTGCCATCTTAAACCACCGGTCATTTTGTTGATCATTCTTGCAAAGTTTTGGCAATATATGTCCATCTTTTTGATGTCAAATATTGATATAAAATTACGATCTGTTTTTCAATTCTTGCATTGGTCTCACTTTTAGGAAGCGAAGAGGGAGGTATGTGTGCCTCCTAGGCCAAGAGCTCTCCTCACTGATGATTAGAAAGTGATCCTGGGAATTTAGCTTTCCCATAAGAGGTTGACATTTTCCAAGATATCTCCACTCTGCTTCTACAGGAAGGTTTGGTCTGTTACGCTATGGTAGCTGTGCTCTTCCATAAAAAGAAGAAAATAACACAGAATAGTTTGTCCAGTAGCTCACAAGAACATCAAAGTCTTCAGAGTAAATGGACAATGCATTTAACAGAGAAATGTATTCCTATGGCGCATTCATGAGGCATCACTCTCATAACCCAGAATCTCTTCCCAGGAGCCTGATGAAAGATGCTGGATATTTTTCCTTCACCTACAATGGAGCTATCCAGTGGCATCAACAGGAAAAAATTTGCAGATTGGTTTTGAAATGACATAATTCTAGCATTTTGTCTCCTTTGGTACATTATATAACTTAAAGTCTGTATATGAAGTGAGAATTTTAATGATAATTTATTTTACAGTATTTCAATTAAGGTTCTATCAAGTGAATACACAGTCATGGTAATAATTGGTCAGAAATCAGCCCAACTTACACAGTCACTCCATCTTCTGAACTCCTGTAACAGCACATCATCTTTCAGACTTGGGTTATCATTAATTTATATGTTTGTGTGAATGTATATCTCCTTTTCTGCATGTAAGACTCATTGAGGCCATGACTTTGCCTTTTCTATTACTATACACATGAGGAGGACAGGATATAATGGGAAAGCCTCAACCTACATTTGCTTAGAAACTTCTTGACATTCCCCACACTCCGCCACCACCTCCAATAACAGGGCTTCGGCAAAACATTCTTCTAATATTTCAAATAACAAAACAACGCCATTCACTTTGAATTAGCCGTGTCAAATCTGTAATCACTTAGAGAAATGTATGCATTTCTTTGTAAGCAATTGACATCCATTTTCACTGCATACCACTCATAAGAAGTTTTTCCTCATAAGAAAGAAAAACTTATTTTTTTGCATAATGCTTAACAATTTACAGGACTACTTCTAAATTGTTACTGTGACCAAAGTCTGGGTCATTCCATGTGGCCTTGTAGGGCCTTCATTGAAGGCCTCTCCCCACCTAAGTGTCCTTCAATTTTATTAGGCAGGCAGCTTTTAGATCATTTAACCCCAAGTTATTTGCAAAGTTGTTTAGGCTCAGAGATTTAAGTTTCCATGATAATATAGGGAATTTTTAAAAAGAATTTATTGGCTTAAGAGATATAGAGCGAGCAAAAATCAATATGAGAAGTATAGGGTACTGATAGGTTTAAACTGACAGAATCATTAGCCAGGGTGAAGCATAGAGGGCAGATTCCAGGAGAAGATAGAAGACAGGCCGACAGCAGAGGGACACCTGGAGACCATTAGACCTGGGGAAGCTGCGGCGACAGCGCAACGGTGTTGCAGTGACCACACAGCCCAGCAGCACTTGGCCAGCAGCAATCCAAGCTCCGGCAGCAGTCCGAGCTCTGGTAGCAGCCAGGTGGGAAACAGAATTCAGCAGCAGCTTGGGAATAAACACAGGCAAAGAACTGCCTGTCCTGTTGATTTGTTTGCCCAGACCACAGAAAAAGAGCACCAGACTCCAAGGGATGGTGCAGGAACAGGGTGGCTCTTACAGCCCAGACCCCCATCAGTGCAGCATTGGGCACTGATTGCTCATGGTTTAGCACTTGCACAGCTTATTGCTGCCTCTCCAGCCCCACTGCCTTTGCCACACTACACAAAATGGCACCTGACGTAGTGCTGGTGGAGTTCTGAGTCTGCTGGCTGTTAGGCCTGGGGGCTACATGGACCCACTGTGAGTAGAACCTGCAGGATGTGAAGTTAGCACTGCTTTCCCTGTGGGATCAGTGCAGTGTTCTGAGCCAGAAACAAGCATGTCCCCGGCTATCTCTCCAGTCCCACAGCTTTTGCCCCACTACACAAAGTAGAAGTAGACAAGGGTGTCCACTCTCACCACTACTATTCAATACAGTATTAGGAGTTCTTTCCAGAGCAAGAAAACAAATTAAAGGAACTCAAATAAAAAATGAGGAACTGAAATTATCTCTATTTGTAGATGACATGATTTCTCTATGCAGGAAAACTAAAAGACTCAGTCAAGAGACTAAGAAAGAAAGAAATAGAAGGCATCAAATGATGGAGAACTTATCATATTCCTGGATCAGTAAGATCAATATCATCAAAATGTTCATATTACCAAAAGCAATATACAGATTCAACACGATCCCAATCAAAATCCCAACATTCTTCTCAGTAACAGAAAAGAAACAAAAGTTCATCTGGAAACACAAGAGAACACAAACAGCCAAAGCTATTCTGAAGAATAAAAAATCAAGCTGGAGTAATCACCAGACCTCAAGACATACTACAGAGCAGTGGTCATCAAAGCAAACTGGTACTGGCGCTGGCACAGAAACAGAGGAGAAGATCAGTGGAACAGAATAGAAACACCAGGATGAAGCCCACACAGGTATAGCCAACTAATCTTTAATAAGAAAACTTACCCAGGACAATAGCCTGGTCTCTTCAACAAATGCTACTGGGACAATCGGATTGCAACCTGCAGAGGTAAGACGCAAGACCCCCACCTGTCACTTTATACAGAAGACTGTTCTAAATGGATCAAGGAACTAAATCTGTACCCAGAAACCATCAAACTATTACAGTAAAACATAGGAAGCCCTCTCCAAGATACAGGAATGGGAAAGTTTCTTTAGATTCAAAAACACAAGTAGGCAAAGCCAAAATAAACAAATGGAACTACATCATACTAAAAAAACTTCTGTACAGCAAAGGAAATGATCCACAATGTGAAGAAGCAACCAACGAAACGGGAGAAAGCTTTTGCACACTACACCACTGATAGAGGACTAATGTCCAGGATTTACAATGAGCTCCAGAAGCCCAGCATCAGCAAAACAATCAATCCTGTGAAGAAATGGGTGAAGGGAATGAGCAGACATGTCTCAAAAGAACAAATTCAAATACTAACAGACATGAAATGATGCTCACGCTCCCTAGTCATTAGGGAGATACAAATGAAAATCACATTGGGATACCACCTAACTTCAGTGAGGCTGACCTACCTTCAGAGCTCTATTGACAATCTGCTGGCATGAATGTGGGGAGAAAGGTACCTTTCTTTCATGCTGGTGGGAGTGTAGGCTAGTACAACCACTATGGAAGTCAGTATGGAGAGTGCTTGGAGAACTGCAAATAAACCTGCCTATGACCCAACTACTCTGCTCTTAGAATACATCCAAAGGGAATGAAATCGGCATATGCGAAGGGGATCTTAATCCTATATTCAAAACAGCACAATCTACAATAACAAAGACATGGAAACAACCTAGATGCCTGTCCAAAAAGGAATGGATAAAGAAATTATGGTACATTTACTCCATGGAATACTACTCAGCCATTAAAAACAATTAAATTCTAGCACTGGTGACCAAATTGTCTCAACTAGAGACCATTACTCTCAGTGAAATGTCAATCCCAAAAGAACAAATACCATATGTTCTCTCTGATATAAGGCAACCTTCACGCAAATTATAACATCAATAGCTCTTTCAATACTGTTTTTGCTGTAACTCATGAGATCTGATATTTTTGTTTTTATTTTCATTTTTTCAAAATAGTTTCTTTTCTCTTATTAAATTCTTCACTGACTCATAGATCACAGAATAACATCATTTTCTCCAAGAAGGTTTTGTTTGTTTTGTTTTTGTTTTTCATTTCTTCATCAACACATTGGTTGTTCAGTAACATACTATTTAACTCCAAAATGTTGTAAATTTTTTTAACTGTATTCCTGTTGCTTTTCACTCACGGCTTTTTACTTAAAGAGAGCATACAGTTACTATATAATAGAAACTTTCCTCTCCAGATGTGAAGATACAATGCAGCACACATCTTTACTTCCAAATTAAAGATGAACCCCATATGAAACTATTGTATATACCTTGACAATAGGATGTTGGGCTGTCTTTCAATGTCTGTATCCGCAATGTCAGGATACACTTAAATAGAAGAATGATGGACTTATGAATTACTTACTGTATTACTATTGTTACAATTACTTATTGTATTGTATTGTTATTACTTATTTTAATAGCATGGGGTAAATCAGTTGCAGGTAGAAAATTTGGGGAGAGAGTAAGGAAAATCACAGGGCCTATGGAGTTGTATCACAAAATTAAAAATAAAATAGAA